TTTTTTTTTTTGTCAAAGACACGTGGTGCATGATCCAGCACGATTACATTTTTAAACTATATAAGTAATAGATATATTTATTAAAGAGTATATCATATTGTCACCTGTCAGTATTAAAATGTCGTTAGTGGTGTTGTCATGGTGAAATTAATAAATTCATACATAAATATTTTATTAAGAAAACAAAATACTAATTATTAGCATGTGATTATCATTAGATGGTTGAACTTTTTTATTTTTATTTTTTTTTTAGTGAAAAGGCCTCTAAAGTGGTGGGTTTTAGATTGTGACTCAAAAGTTGGGTTTGGGCATGTAATTTTGGCTTCTAGCATTTAGCAGCACAGCACCATAATGTGCAAACGTGCAAAATTATAAAGTAGACATAAAAGAATAAAAATTTTGGCTTCTGGCTTAACTCGTTTGAACTCATTTAAAGCTCATTTGATTAACGAGCTGAACTCGACTCGGCTCGATAATAAAATAGAAGCTGCCATTAACAAATCACGTTTATAAAAATCATTTGATTATGTATAGAGAATGAAAAAGAAAAAAAAAACATCATCAAATTTTTTTCTCCGCCATGTTTTTATTTCCATAAAAATAGGGGTCGGTACAACTATATTTTCAAATATATGTGATTAATTTATTTTCAAATTTTTATTTCCATAAAAATAGGGGAAACAAATGATTAAGCATGATAAAATAAAATACAATAATAAGGCGTATGTTAGGCAAATTGAAACGGATAGAGTATGATTTGATTATGAATCTATGATAATCCTTTTCACAATAATAATAATAATCACTGTGATTAGGTTTGACCTGTCTCTAATTAAATTATTATTTTCCCCCTAGTAATCAAATCACACCCTAATAACCTCACTTCACATAAAAAGGAAATGTTATTTTACGTAACCATTCTGTTGGGTTTGTAACCGTTATAAGCCTTATATCATTATATAACTGTCGGAATAATTGATCTAACAGTTACAAATTTCGACGGAATAATTCCGTAACGGGACCGTAACATTTACATAATCGATCAGTACGAACCTGCCGTGGGTGAAGACGTCGTCGTAACGGCGTCTCTGTCGTTGCCACTGATGATTTTCAGCTCTCCATTTCTCACTAATCCTTTTCTTGAAACATTTCTATGCAACTTTCATATTTCATCCACCCCCAAAAAAAAAAAACACTTAAATATTTATTAGTATCAATTAAGACATATTATAGGAGCAAACTAAAGAAAATTTATCATTAATTTCAGATAACAACAGATATATTAATTATGCAATAAATTATTACTTACTGTAATTCTTGAATTATTTGAACCGTTGATGTCTTTTTCCATAAGATGATGAGCAAATCCATTCAACTCCACCACGAAACTATCTGACTGATGAATATCAGAAATTGATATTTTTTCATCTTTTTTCTCTTCCATAGAACACATATCCTCCTTAAAATTAAAAAAAATTAAAAAAAACATAAAAAAATAAAAAATAAAAATTAACACCATAAATCAATAAAACAGTGAATTAATTACAGAAAAAAAATAAAAAAATAAAATAAAAAGAGAAAAAGTTACGTACCCTTTTTTCCCAAGAAATTTTCTGTCAATTTCTATCTCAATTCTCAGCCCCTTTTTTCCCAAGAAATTTTGAGGATATATATATATATATATATAGGGTTGGGTTCACATGAGAATAGTTCCCAGTGAAAGAAATGAGAATAATTCGTGGCCATTAGATCGGATGATCTAATGGCTAAAAAAAAATCAAGATTATACCTTCATTAAGGGTATTTTAGACATTTCTATACTTATTGTGGACCCACCAGACACACAAAATACCAACTTGTTGACTCCCACCACCAACCCACCTGCTACCTCTTATTTGTATCTGCCACCATTAATCACGCACACACACACACACCAAAAAACACACTTCCACACACACCTCCACACACACACAACCCGACGCACACACACCTGCCGACTGCTGCACCCAGATCCTCCGTGGTCGTCGTCGTTTTCTTCCACCTTGTCGTCGTCACGAGTCTCTTCTTCGTGGTGACAGTCGTCGGTTTTCACGGCAACTCGGCTACCATCAAGCACTGCCGGATTCGCCCCTCACAGTGGTGGTTCGCCTCAACTTCACCGGCAAATGAGACAACAATGGCGGCATTTGGATTTCAACCACTACCTGTCGCTTGGGCCGTCGTTCAAAGAGAGACCCTTCACCGCTGCGCGCCATTGAACACCTCCGACCGCCGCCGTGAAATCGCCGTGATTCTCGCGGCTGGCGTCGTCCAACATCTTCTGTAGCTCAAGCCAC